TATATATATATATATATATATACATATAAGAAATTTCCACGTATATATAGTCACTCATCACGATATCTCTGGAACCATAAGACCTAGAGACTTGAAATTTGGTAGGAATATTCTTTTTACCGCGTAGAGGTCAGCTAAGAACGGATTTAACGAAATTCCACCCACAAAGGGGATTGCGGGGGCGTTAACAATGAAAAATTTCCATTTATAAAATATAGCTCCTATCGACTCCAAATTTGGTAGGAATCTTCTGTAAGAGATGTAGAAATAATATAGGAACGAATTTTACGATAGCTTACCTCACAGGGGTTTGCGGGGGTGGGTATTAACAATTAAAATTTTTAATTTCCAAGCTATAGCTCCTATAGACTTTAAATTTAGTAGGAATCTTCTATATTCTATATGTGATATAGAAATGATCTAAGAACGGATTTTACAACGAATCACCTCCAATAAGGATCACGGGAGTGGGTGTTGACAATAAAAAATGTTCATTTCCAAAATATAGCTTCTGAAAACTCTAAATTTGGTAGAAATCTCATATTTCTCCTGTAAAGATCATCTCAAAATGAATTTCAATAAAGTTTACTTCCAATAGGAATTGCGGGGGTGGGTGTTAGAATCTAAACTTTTAATTTCCAAACTGTAACTTCGACAGACTTCGAATTTGGTGGGAGTCTTCGTGTATCATGTCAAATTCAGCTAAGAATGAATTTTATCAAATTCCAACCTCAAAAGGGACTGCGGAGGCGTTAACAATGAAAATCTCTCTTTTCAAAACAATAGTTTCTATAGGCTCGAAGTTTTCTTGGAATATTAGATCCTTGAATAGGATCTTACAAAATTTCTCTCTCACATAGGAGTGCGGGAGTGATAGTTGTCAAAAAATTCATATTCTTCAAATATAATTTCTACAGATATAAAATTTCATAGAATCTCAAGAGAAACAGGTAATTACAGGAATGGCCTCTCAGGTCAACGGATTAAAATATTTTCCTTTTGTAATAATTATATTTTCTTACAACAATCGTCTCTTTGGTAGCGGCGAAAAAGTCATTCTAAGCTTTCTAAAATTTAACTTTAGATGTAGCTATATAGTCAACGGACTGAGTATTTTGCATACATTTTATTTTTGCTGATCACATAACCGATGAATTGTTCTTATTATGGGATCGCAGGAATGTAACAGATTAAAATGAATACATTTTCTAAACACTTGAGATGTGGAAAAGAAATTTGGCTACTCATTTTAAGAGATTTCGTAAAATCAAGAATTAAAATCGTAAATCCAAAAATTACACCGGTACACAAAAAAAAAAAGTTGTCTGTGCATCGGGCGCCACCTATCTACGGGCATGTTTTTCGACCCGCTGAACACGAATTTCAAGTCAGTTTAGGCCGTCCGGGCTTCAATTTCGAGTAAATTGCAAAAAACCCCAAAAAATAGCGAAAATTCGATGTTTTGGCTAGATAAAAAATTTTGAGATCTAAGGCTAGCATAATTTTCATGTATTTTGATTTGTTTAATACTAATTTTGATCGTACTTTAATCATAAACCGTTTTAAATCTAAAAAAATTGTAAAAAATCCTTAAAAATTGCAAAAATCGTGAAAAATTGGGATTATCTTGGTACAAAAAATTTTGTGGACCCAGATTGACGAAGATTTTCATGTCATTTAGTCTGCTTGATCTGATTCTGCAATAAATTTGGCTCATAGTCCCCTCAAATATTCATAACACTGCAAAAAACCGATAAAATAGCAGAAAATTGCTGCTGAAAAAATGGAAAAAAATTTTTTAAACACAATTAAATAAATTTCTTATATTTTTTATTTCTAAAATACAAGATTAAGATCCAAGAATGTACACAAATTGAATTTTTAACGGTTTTTCGAGGGTGTTGTATTGTTTCATTATCAAATGATCTACGATGTGGATACCTCTTTTTCCACCTTTTCCTTTATTTAGTAAAAATTTGTCATCGTGTTGGAATTTCAACTTCTTCGAAGTGCAGACTTCATTTCATTGCATGATCACTTGTACTTGCAACCAGGGCACTTCCTCGGGGTGACGGTGGGCAACAGAACCATCTGGCATCAGTCCTTGGGTTAACGGCGTGTGTGCCGTCATGGCAGGTACAAGTGATGAGTACTTTACGATGCAGGGATTTGGAAACCCAGTATCGGCGTCTGGTCAGGGTGAGAAAGCAGGCCCGCAGGCGTCGTCATCCAGCGACTGCAGCTCTTCAGTAGTGGAAAACTTGGCTACTGAAGAGTAAACTATTACAAGAAGCAATTCCCATCTATGCAATAAGAGTCCTGATCAATTTTGTTACGTTTGTGGGGAGTTTCAGCCGGTAAAAAACCGCAGAACATTTTCAGATAGATTAAAACAAAATTATGAAGAATGCTTTTGCATTCAAATTACAAATTTGGATTCAGCATGGGTCCCACACTTTGTTTGTAGTCGATGTAGTATAATATTGACACGATGGGAAAAAACCAAAAATAGAGAAAACTTGAAATTTACAATTCCCATGATCTGGACTTCACCAACTAGTTCGCATATCTGTTACTTCTGCATGACTAAAACTGACGGTTTTACTTCGTTGAATAGAAGTAAAATACAGTACGCTAATGTTTCATCAGCTATTAAGCCACAGAAAACAGTTATTGTTGATAAAACCGAAGCTCTTAAAGAGATGGAAGTAGAAAAAAAAGAAATGCCAATGGAAGAAGAAGAGGAAGAAGAAATTTCTGAAGATAAAAATCCCGGAGATAAAGATTTCATGCCAGATGGAAAAACGAAAGACCATGAAATATTTAGTCGATGTTTTGCCGCCAAGGCAAAAGACCTACAATGGGGTGCGCGACTTCTGGGACACCCTGTATAACATTATGGCTGAGATTGTGGATTGGGTTAGGAGCAAAACCTCCCCTTGAAGCTGTCTCCGATGGTAATCGAGCTCAACTGAACGCTATGTCACTTGCATTCAACGAGATGTCTCTCAAGCAATATATAAATGTATGTTTTGAAAAAATTAGAAACCCTGACAAAGAAACAAATGTTAGAACCTTTATTAGATTGGATACAGCTCATTTTGTACATGCATTTACCGGTTGGAACTGTTTTAAAAGTGTTCTACATCCTTCAATTAAAAGGTTTTATACTTATTGTTTTTGTCTATTAATTGATTGTAAAGATTTAGACAAATTTGAGCGAATATTATTATTAATACTAATCGTTTGTAATACATCCTATGAAGACAGTATTATTAATGTTAATGGTGGAAAAATAACTCCTATAGACGCTAGAAATGAATTAGAAAATCTAATTTCAACTCGAAATATTGAAGAATTCTTTTTAAACGTCAGCGAACAAATAGAAAAATTTGATTTGGAAGAAAAACCATTTACAAATAATCCTTCAGATTCAAATAAAGAAGACTCACCATCTATTTCGTCATGGGCAGGAGGAATTATAAAAGCAGCAAATAATCAAATTGTTGAGGGTAAAAAGATTCAAAGTTTTTACTTATCTTCATTAGTAAAACCAATCATTGATGTGGTCGTGGAATTTCCATTATGGACTAATATTTGTATTCCTTACACCGACTTAAGAGCTATTTCTAGTTATATTGAAGAAGATTTTAAGGATTTATGATTTCTTTAAAACATCAAGAACCGTTACCAACAGATGCTTATACATTTTTGAAGCTTCATCTTGATTATCTAATTGGAGGAGTAAATTTGTTCAAATTAAAGGTGACGAAATTTGTCACTACAAATTTTAATAATCGTACAACAAAGAAATCTAATCTTTTAAATTGTCAGCTAAGTGAAATAAATGAAACTGATGAAAATAATATTGGTGATGTTGTTAAAAATACAGAAGAAAATAATGAACCATTTGGTGACAGAAGTGAAACTACCCTCAATGCTGATGAAGCTCCTTTTCATTCTAATGAAAATTCTGGTGAAAGTTGTACTAATAATAATTATAAAAACATAAACATAGAAGACCCTGACATTTTAAACTATAATTTAAGTAAAATAACTGAAGAAAAAAATCAAAAAGAACGTTACGAAAATTGGATGGGTAAAGGAAAAGATGATAATTTTGACAAGTTTGGTTGGATGAATTTGGAAACTATTGAGGGGGAAGAAAATATGCTGAACTCATCAGATTCGGAGCAAATTAATGATAAATATTTGTACGATGAAAAAGTTCAAGACAATGTTAAAGAAAAAGATACTATTAACAAAATTACAGTATCTGATGACTATACTAAAAATATTGACATTGATGACTCAAGAACTTATGCTATCGATGATGATAATGATACGTTGGATAATGAAGTCCTAAAAAACGTGAAAGTCGAAAAAGTTGGTGATCATAATTATTCTTTCACAACAAGTACTCCATTAAGTAGTGTGAAACAAAAAAGAACTTTAGTTGAAGCTATCGAGGAAGTAAGTCGGAAAAAAAGGAACTGTGGTGAATATTTCCAAGATAATCCAGGTATTAATGTTCATAATAATTTTGTTGTATCTGACAAAAAAGTAATTAAAAAAAACATAAAATACGTACTACAGAATGGTTTCAGATGTAAAGCTATAAAATGTAATGGTTATGACTGGTTACCGCAAAATACATGTCCCTTTGACACTATTATACAGCTGTTATTTGAGAGCACTTTACAAGATATTGTTTTCTTTGATTTTTGTAAAAATTCTAAAAATGAAATTTTTCAATTTGTAATTGACTTTAAAAAAAAATGGTGTAACGCATGATATTTATCAGAAAAGATTTCAAATTCTATATCCTATTTACAAAAACACCGAAAAATCTTAACAAAAAATAAAAAAAGAAGATTGCAAAGTTGTAACTATTTCACGCACGATATTTTGTCAAGACAATGTTAATTTACTGTGGATTAGACTTTTTGCTAATGAACCAAGTCTTATTGAGAAAAATGTTTGTCCTTCATCTGGATGTAAAAATAACAACACTAGAAATGTACCAATCTTTCCAATAAACCACCAACTACTTACTGAACGTGGCTTCAGTACATTAGACAAAGCGCTAGATTTCCATAGTGTTATCTATAACATGTATTGTAATTATTGTCAAGGGAACAAAAGAATACGACGTCAATTCCCAAATCATTATATTTATATCGAGTTAGATATTAAAACAGAAGGTCGAGAGTGCAAATTACGTGACCTGCCCGAATATTTAAACTTATCGGTGACTAATGAAGACGATAGTGCTCGCAATCTTCGTTACCGGTTTGTAGATCATTTTAATTTATTTTGATGTGCTTTTTCAAGTTTATAATAATTGTTTATTAAATTTTAGATTATGCGGAGTAGCAGGATATTCTCCTGGTCATTACGTCGCTTTTTGTCGAAGAATATCTGGAGCTTGGGTATGTTATAGTGATCTCACTGAGAAGCTAGAATCTAAACCAAATAGTTCAAAGGTATTGCCTCATGGAGTTCTGTACGTAAGATGCTAGGAGTGTACATTACTTTTTTTACTATCTGTAACAAGGAGAAATCCTTATTAATTTACTTCTTGTTTTCGTTGTAAAGTTATGAAGTTATTTTTTTTTTATAATTATTTATTAATTATTTTCTTTTAGTATGTTTTTCAATACTATAATTTTATTTAGCATGCCTGAAATTTGCAAAATGTTATGAAGAAGTCTTTTATATTCATAGCTTAAGTTTAATAATTGAAACTGTTTAAAATCTATTGCAATAATAAATATATATGATGGCAGAAATTTGAAGCAAAATATTGAAAAGTATATAAACTTGATGAAATTTTAATTAATATTTTCGTTGTGTATTTTGTTATTTTTTTAAGAATCAAATAATAAACATAACTTATTTATAGAGATAACTAACGATATTCTCTCACACTTTTATGTATATTCATAATTTTAAATATTGACTATAGGTTTTTAATAGTTATACTATTGGTATATTGATAAGTGTTAAACCAAAATTATTTTAACAATAAGTTTATGCCATTTAGTTTTATATTGAAAATTCAATTTTGTATCATCCGTCAATTTAGAAAATATTTTTTTTTTTATGATTTATGTCAAAAGTATTGAAATATTTTAAAATATCATTAGGTTCAATAAAATAAAGGTTGTTTAGTGATCAGGCCCACTCAGTGAGCAATACGTCACTGTGGGCTCCCCAAATTTACAACACGCACCTGACAAGCGCTCATTCCCGCAAAGTCTCACCCGCCTGCGCAAACCGACTTTTCGATCACGCCACATGTATCGAATTTTACTATTGGCTATCGATGTCGACATCAATAAAGCGAATTTATTGATTGGATGATCGCTCTCGCTGGACATGCGCAATAGCCTTTTTCCCCAAGTCAACGAGGAAGAAGAGGACCTATTATTATTATCTTTCGCATCCATTTTTCGTACGAACAAGTCGCTTTTTTGCTTACTGAAATTTCGCTTTCTAAAATAACCGCTTTTCGCTTTTAACGTTTCAATATTGCATATGACATCAGTAAATTTAGCCAGATATAGTTAATCCGAACAAAAACAGTTTCACTGTAAAAAAATCGCGCCAAGTCCACGTTCATAAGACTATTAAGAATAAAAAATTAGTTTTTTCTTTACAAAAAGATATAAAATAAAAAAATTAAAAAATCCAAGTAACCGATACGATTGTTTATGATTTTCGGGAATTAAAAAAAATTTTGTTGTAAATTTAAAAATTAAAAAAACAATTTTGGAACGTATTTAGTGTGCGTTGTTGCGAAATATTTTACTTTTAATTAAATTCGTAAAATCTATTTACTAGGACTTAAAAAATATTGAAATGCACAATATGACGCACACCAAATACGTTCCAAAATTGTTTTTTTAATTTTTAAATTTACAAAAAAATTTTTTTTAATTTCCGAAAATCATAAACAATCATATCAGTTACTTGGATTTTTTAATTTTTTCATTTTATATCTTTT